GTTTATAAATATATAAAGTATTTATAAATATTTTATATATTTTATTTTATTTCAAAATACTCCAAAATGCTCTGAAGACCTCACAGAATTATTTAGTCAGAATTTGAGACTGTTTTTAAAACCAACTGAGTAAATTAGACGACGTAAAAGAACATCTGAAACATTAGCCAAGTGAAAATCTTTTTGGCCAATGATCTAGAAAATACAAAGAGATAAATTATTCTGGTTCAGGATATATCATACCACTTTAAAAGTGGGAATATTGGAGTTTGGTTCTGGGCTCTCATTTCTTGCATGATCTTAGGCAAGTGTGATTTATTTACCCAATGTGTTCCCCATTTTAAAATGTGATTTCTGTGATTAGAAGTAGTTGAAAACAGGTCTTAAAGTGTAAGATTGCTGATGTTGTTAGGTTCTAGAAGTATTCTTGATTTTCTGATATGATCAGCCAAGGAAGAGAGACTATGAGAGTCCTAAGATACGAAGGAACTTGTCACAGTGGAGATTTTACAACAACATGCCTTCTGAACAGAAAAATGGTTTGGTTTTTCTTTTAATTGAATTGAAAGTCAATAGACTCCTTCATATTCCCAGATGAAAGCTGGCATTAGTGTCACACTCCAACTATAGATTTCTAGCTTCCAAGAAGCACAGTTTACTGTTCTTTCTAATGGGACGTTACAGGAAGGAGTTGAGAGAGGATAGATGTTCCAGAACAAACCTCATTTTGCCTCCTTAGTGAGAAAAGGACTAAGAAGCTGAGCTTTAGGGTTTTTCTTTCTTGAATGCTAATTTTGCAGTTTAATGGCAGGAAGGAGATAGTAAAATCAATTCCATTTTCTGGCAGTCATCTGGACTGTATATATGATATGAATTCTTTTTATCACTAAAAGAAGCTCAGTAATGATTTGTTTGTAGGCCCATTGCCAAAATGCAAAGATTCTGGACTAGTTCATAAATAGCTGTGCTCTTGGAGCTTTGCAGTCTGTTCCAATTGAAACCTTCCCATCATTCTAGAAATGGGAGTATGTGGAGAGGGGGAAATGAACATTTTTTGGCTTTGAGTCACTGGACAGACTGCAATGAATAAGGGCTTTGATTCTGTAAGGGACCTTTTTTTCCTTCAGTCCACCCAGTTTTGTAAATTGAGGGTTACTAAGCTGTGCACCCCATTCCAGCTGGTCATTGTGTGGTGCTGGGGGAGGGAATTTTTAGGATAGCTAAAAGGCTTCTTGTATCAAGTCCATTGGAACTTAAACACTAGCCTTGCTTTTCTGTAGGGAGTGTTCTTAGAAACTGAAGATTTCTTTAATTTGTAAGATTGTGCAGACTATGATGAGCATCTTATCCAGACAGGGGTTGGACTAGATGATCTTTAAAGGTTCTTTCCAACCCAAACCATTCTATGTTTCTATGACCTTGAGTTAATTATTTATAAAATTGAAAACTGAGAATCCTAACCAGAGAGATCCATTAGTAGAAATTGACAGTGAAATTGACAGTGGAGGAAATAACATCAGTGAATACTGTTGAGTCAGAATGAAACCAAATTTATTTTTTACTAATAGGCTTTCTGGTCCCAACAGGACATGTACTTGTTCTAGAAAGATATTAAACCTATTTACATCTCAGTGTTGCCTGGTGCCTTTCTCAATAGAATTACTGGGCTAATCTAGGCAGTGAGAGTGTATTTAATACTGTCTTGTACTGCTGTAAGATCTGCCTAGAGCTGATCAATATTTATATCAGTCATCTGTTATAAAATACAAAAATCATTGTCCAGACTTGCTCCGAAGGGGTGTTGACTGGAATGATAAAAGAAGGTGAGTAGACAGTACAAGGGACGTGGGTTATGTACAAAGATTCATTTAGTCAATGAGGTTGCCCTAGTATGGACAAATGGAAGGTCACAGGTAAAATGTGGAGGATGTATAATAGCACAGATCTGCATTCTGGATCAGCAAAATTGGGTCAAGAACTATGTGGTGGGAGGACTTCTTCAAAAGATGAAGCTTCAGTGGCTACTTCGAGCCTCAGGGACATTAGCCTCTCATTTCTCTCTCTCAAAAACAAACCCCCAAACAAACAAAAGTCAAAATACTGAGGAATCTAGATAGCTTGCTGTAGGTTGGCCAAAGTCTCCTTGTATTCATTAAAAAAATGGAAGTTTTAAAGAGTTTATTCAGTGAACTCGCTGGCAGAAATGGTTAATGCTCTAAGGAAAGAGCTGTAGTGTGGGACAAACACACAGCCAGATCCGATCTCTGACTCAGAGTTCAGGACACTAACCTGAACATTACTGATAATAATTCATAAGTAAAGTATGTGAGGGGTCATACTAGATTCTCAGTCACTTTGGATGGCATTATTGATAAGTAATCTTGATTTCTGAAGTTGTTAACCTTGATATGGGAATAGGAGGGGGAGAAAGTTTTGTGGCTTGTGATATGAAGGAGGCCAGTCTCCTTACAGAGCGTGGGGCTTTCTTGGCTTGGTCACGAGGTGCCTGGCAGCTTTCTGCATCAAGCCTGAAGGGTACAAAAGACTCATTCTCTCTTTTTCTAGCTTTCTCAAGCTTGTTTACCTTGGAAACTGAGTGGAGCCTCTGATGGACCATGAGCATTGTAGTAAGCAAATAGGGACATAGAACTTTTGTGCATCCCCCTGATTATTTCTTAAATGGAAAACTGGAGTGTATCATAATAGGTAGATGATGTAGATAAGTAGGATGATGTAGATAAGTCTTATCTAAGATGATGTAGATAAAGTCAACATAGGATAGAAAACTACCAATCCTCCTTCCTATAAAGTTATTAGTGGTGTATACTGGCTAAATATCCAGGTTCAGTGATTTTTATTTTGTTTTCATAATTCTCTTGGTACACCTTGGGGATATGGATTTCTCTTTATTTGAATTTTGCTTAACTCTGCTGTCTGTTACTGCTTTCCCTTGATAACTTGCCTTTGTCTAACTGACAAAAGTTTCATACTAGTTTCTGAAATACCTTGAAAGTCAAACAGATGAGTAAGTGTCTATTACTGGATTATGAGCTGAGCAGAAGTGTCAGTTAAACAGAAGAGATCTGCAGATTTGAACTAAAAATTGAGGTGAAGCATTTAGGACAAGGTAAATTGATTCCTCTCCTTAGCTTGCCTTTTATTATCCTAAAATGCCAGATACGTTATAGAGGAATTAAGACAGGCACAGTGACATTGAAACATGAAATGAGGAGTAATCCTTCCCTAGAGGTGGGTTCACTGCAAACCTCAGACTCCATATCTGGGCTTTAATGAAGCGTAACTTAGAGAAGAACACTGCTTTCCTCCAAACCTGGTGCAAACATGTGCAAAAAGGATTAGACATGTGATTTGTTCTCAGATACCTAAGAATGTAAGAATTTCTTTGCTGGTTCTTTTGAATTCCTTCCTCAGTGGCATATAAAGGAAGAAGACATTTATTTGCCAAGACCTCAAATCATAATTTTGTATGTGAACGTCACCTTTCTCCGTTCATCTCTCTAAAAGCATTTTCTCCATTTTTCCTCTCTTGCCCAGTGTTCTGAGGATTGTAAGCACAATGATGAGTCACCTCAAGAAGATGAAGGGTTTATGGGTATGTCACCTCTTCTACAAGCCCACCATGCTATGGAGAGAATGGAAGAATTTGTGTGTAAGGTAAGGCCACGTGGAAACTTCTGAAGTAGTTTTCATTTCTTGGGAAGCTCCAGTTGGGAAGCATCTGTGAGGGAAAGCAGGTACACACCATTCCTGAACGGGCATCTCTTCTTATAACTAACACTGCAGCTTCTCAGGATCTCAGCCGGTCCTAAAATATTAAATTGTAAAGCATGGAACAATGGGGGTGACAAATGAGACTCTAAAGCTGATCATGCAGCTGAGGACTCTTCTCTTGAGAAACACCTGTGCAGAATAAAAGCTTTCTGATTCAAGGCACTTTCATTTACAAGGTTATCTTTTTTCCAGGTTTCTTCAGACTTGCAAACATTTTGGTTTTCCAGCCCTATTTGCATCCATTGCAGCTTTGTCCCTTAGTTGAAAAGAAAACAAGGTTATATTAAACTCTAAGTAAATCCATTGTAGATTTTGTAATTGCTGGCCTTGGCTCAATTTTTTGCTACTTTTTAGAGCCATGGGGCTATATCAGTCTCAGACCCTCCTTTCTTGGTGAAAGGGGTGCTGCCCCTTCATACACTTGTTCCTGCTGGTTTTGTGATCTATTCTTCAATGTTTTTTACAGAGGGACCGTAGTCACTTGGTAGTTTTTTGTGTGGGGGTTGTTGTTTGGTTTTGTTTGGGTTTTTGTTGGGGTTTTTTTTTGTGGGTTTTCTTGTTGGTTTGGGGTTTTTTTTGGTTTTGTTTTTCATTAGATGTTTCTTCCCCTTTTTAGTTGTTCTGCAGGGTGGATTGTGTAAAATGAATTCCCTCCTGCTGTTCTTACCTCAGTTCAAATTTTTTGGTTCATGAAGTGAACCAGTTATTTTCTTACTTAATGTATTTAAGAACTCAGTCTTTAACTGGGTTGGTTATTCTGATTAGTTTTGTTTTGCTTCCATGAAGGAGAATTGACTTGAAAAACTCTTGAGCTCTTGTTGTTGAAACTGAAATAAGAATGTAGCTTTTTAAACTTAGTGTTTCAGGATTCTTCAGGCCTGTTCCTGTATTACTAGCCAGACGACAAATCCAAGGAACACTGCAGAAACAACCCCGGTACTTAAAACAATTCCCTGATACCTTTCTGCTTGGCAGTGCTGCTTCTGAAGCCAAACTGAAGACTCCCTGTGTCTTATATCACTGAAGCAGTGCTAACAACACCTGTGTACACTTATTTTTTTTTCCATTTGGAGCCAGCTGCAAGAATAAGATGTGTGCACATCTGCTCTCTCTCCCTTTGAAGAAGAAATCTGATGGAATGGAGAGTTATGGATTTGTTGCGTTAACTGATCTGTCGCCGTTTGTTTGGGGACTGGATAAGGGATTGGAGGCTTCTCATTGGGCTCTTGCCACTTCATCATTTCTCACACATATTAGTGCTGTTGGGTAGCTTTTTTTGCTAGACTGCCCCAAATGCTAACTGATAAATTGTCAGGTTGGCTTGTGGTTGGAAGAACAGGCTTTTACTTACTTATTTCTTGGAGAGAACTAGGTGTCGCCTTCTTCAATTAAATGGAAAGGATGATCTGTGAAAATAACAGAAAATGGGAATTAATGAAATGTTTTCCCTTTATTAGCAGTAAAAAAAGCCCAGTAGCTTTCCTCCTCAATGTAATGCCAAAGTGTTTCGTTGGTGGTGCACCTCAACTTCACGATGATACTGTTTTGAGGAGGGAACAGTGACTTAAGCATTATATTTCAAGTGTAAAGCCTTTGCCCCAGACATGTCCCATCAACCCTACTCATAGATTAACTCCTACCACTTTTACTAATATGGGTTTTCTGACTTTTGCCATACATCAGTGGAACTCAATTCCCTGCATTTAACTAAAATCTTCTAACTTTTAGGTATGGGAGGGCCGATGGAGAGTCATTCCCCATGATGTTCTGCCTGACTGGCTGAAGGACAATGACTACCTGTTGCATGGACACAGACCACCCATGCCTTCCTTCCGGGCTTGTTTCAAGAGTATCTTCAGAATACATACAGAGACTGGTAACATCTGGACACATCTTCTAGGTAATTTTCAGTTTGCTCTAATGCTAATTGGCTTCATTGCTCTCTTTGAGAGCAAGATAGAAAGAGGTATGGGGTGGTCAGCATTATCATTCTATTAGTAACTTGTTAAATTAACAGGTTGGTATCCCTCTCTTAATTTTATCCCACCAGGGTTGGATGGGACTTCCTTAATTATGGCATTCAGTGCAAATTAATGAATTAAAAATTTCCTGTTAGTTAATAAATTACTGGTAGGTGCTCTTTTTTTCCACAAGCGTGTAGGTATCAATTCAGATCACATTTCTTGTCACAGAAACACACTGGCAGCTTGTATGAGTGGTTTTCAACTTGCAAGGAACCTCGAAGGAAAAGGGTTTCTTTGAACTATGCCCTTCTCTTTTTATAATTTTGCAACAGATTTTTTTTTTAATTGTTCTACAATGTTCAACTAGTTTTCAGGCATCTTGCAAAACAAGTCAAAATAGAGTCCGTGCAACTCTGTATTGCATCAGTCTGGGACAGAAATGTGGTTGGAGTAGGGCAGCACGTTATTCTGCATGTGTGCTGCTGGTTGTCATGCAGCTCCTGTACCTTAAAGTCATGTTTTTAGAAAGAAAAGCTTTCAGTATGAAAAACATGAGCTTGACACCTTTCTACCCTACACTGTTTTTTCAGGATGCGTGTTCTTCCTTTGTCTGGGAATCTTCTACATGTTCCGGCCAAACATGTCCTTTGTAGCACCTGTGCAGGAGAAAGTGGTTGTTGGATTGTTCTTCTTGGGAGCTATTCTCTGCCTCTCTTTCTCATGGCTCTTCCACACAGTTTATTGCCATTCAGAAGGTGTTTCCCGGCTCTTCTCCAAGTAAGTGCCTGGAGGACAGGGTAGGCCAAATAGGAAACAGGTGGGAAAACAGGCTTGGGATTTATGCCTGGAGCCTAAGTGTAGGAGTTGTTCATTGCATGACTGCATGTGCTTTGGAAGAGACTTGAGCAGAGATTCAATGCAACTTTTGCTAATTATTGTTTGTTTCAGCATGAGTTTTTCTGCTGTCTTTTTAGTCTTAAAACTACTCCACGTTCTGCTGTTTGGCAGGCGTACGCGTGCATCTTGCTGCTGTGAGTAAGATACCTACAGCTTAGTTCCAGGACTTTGAATTTTTAATACAACTGTCACTTCTTGTCCCTTCAACTATTATGAGTTACTTTGAATCTTAAACTTAAGTAAGACAGCTCCACAACGTGTATCAGGATGTCTTGGCCTTTTGATTTTACTACGCGTTCTTTTTTTGGCTGGCTGCTAAATACCTGGTATTTCCTAAGATTACTCAACCTAGGATTGTGTCATCTGCAAGACCACCTCCTAAAGGAACCCAGTAATTAAAATCCCCTACTGAAAAATTAACTCCCATCATCTTTTGTAGGAGCATTTTGTCAGGATGTGGTAAAAAGCAGTGGCTGTAGGAATTTACTTTCTTCACAGAAAAACAGCGTGGTTGAAAAATTGCGACATTATTCCCCAGTGGTCGCTTGAGCTGATGCCTGACTAACTCATGCTTGTCAGATACCAAAGTGTTTGTGTTGGCTGTGCTCTCACAACATGCTCTGTGCCCTTTTTTGTGTTCAGAGGACTCTTGTGCTGGTTTTCTTTTTTTTCTCATCTGAAGCTTAAATCTGAGTTTCCATCAAAAAAAGTCTAGTCTAAAGACCGCTGTATCTATTGCTGATGACTGTCCAGAAATGGCCTTACTAGCTGTCTATCAAGGTAATCCATTTCTGTTAGGAGGGCATTGGTGGAAGAGTTTCCTTCAGGAAGGAAGTTGCAATAGTGAGAATAACTTGATTTTGCAGTGAGCAGCAGACAGTTGTTCTACTAAAGAAGAGAGCGTTGCTATGAGAACTTCCAAAGCTTTGCATTTCTTATCATCAAACTGATTTTTGTTTTTCCTTCTAGGCTGGATTATTCTGGCATTGCACTTCTCATAATGGGCAGCTTTGTACCGTGGCTGTACTACTCCTTCTATTGCAACCCTCAGCCTTGCTTCATCTACTTGATTGTGATTTGTGTCTTGGGCATCGCAGCCATAATCGTCTCACAATGGGACATGTTTGCAACCCCTGAATATCGGGGTGTAAGGGCAGGTAAGACCTGAAGTTAATAGTTTTGCTTCTTGACTGCCTTTCCTCCTTCCTATTTGCAAAAACTGTCTTGGGAAGACTTGAGAGGTTAATTTTATAGAGAGCTAATATTGGATTGAGAGCTTGATGAGTTTTCTTTCAGCCTTGATTATAATAAGCCAACTAGATGCAGAGATAAGGACTGGTGCAAGTCCTGGAAGTGCATTCCTGAAATGGGCAGTAACACATGCAGTAGGAAAGGTAGTGCAAAGTATTTCTAGCTATATCAAACAACTTCATTCTCTCTCAAAAAAAAAAGACTGACTGTTTGGTGTGTGTATGTGGATATTCCTTCTACTGGTTGTCTTGGTTTTTGTAATACTAAGCTCGGATATTAGCAAATCATTGAATGATTGAATTGATCTGAATGGCTGGCCTAGATAAAACACATATTTAAGGCAAAGAGCCTAGTTTTTCTCTTCACATGGTCAAAAGAACAAAACCAGATTTGGTTTCATGTTCTGAGGTAGGGAGAAAGAAAGCTTTTTAGGTGGCAGCTATGGAATCTGAACAGAGCTGGGATGAACAGTAATATTTCTTGTTCCTTAACCCATACATGCTATCTACAGTAAATCCAGATTTCCTGGACGAGCTGTGGGTGTACCTTCAGAGTACATTCTTCCAAACTTAAAATCTGGATGGGACATGATTATTCCCCACCTCCTATGTGTTTGTTGAGGGTTTTTGCGGGGTTTTTTTAACAAGCTTTTGGTACCTGCTGCTAAAATCTAAATGAATAAACCACGTGGCAGATCAGATGAGCCTCAGATGCTACTTTCCTGTTTCCTAGGACTACTTGGACAGTATATGATCAATAATCTCTTTGTTGTCTCTCTCTCTCTCTCTCTCTCTCTCTCCTTGTTGTCTTGCTCTTGAGAGATGATGGTGAAGTAAGACATAGTTTATGTAGTCTCAGTGCCCTCTACAGCCCAAGCTATGGAACGGGCTTAATGTACGTTAAAACTGGCAGACACAGCCGTTAAATGAAATATTTCAGTATCTGCTGGGACATATAACCAAGTAGCTTCTGGTATATGAAGGAATTATGTGCGTTCTTTAACTTCCTCTCCCAGTAAAGCTCTTCCAGTGACCTACAGCTTCAAGAGTTGTCACCTTTCTGAATTTTCCCTCCATAGCTTTTTTGTGTTTTCATTGTCTCCCCCTTACCGCTGCTCAAATCTGACTTTCCCACATTTTCTTTACCTCCCAGGAGTATTTCTAGGTCTGGGTCTTAGTGGAGTTATTCCCACCCTACACTTTGTCATCTCTGAGGGGCTCCTGAAAGCAGCCACAATGGGGCAGATAGGCTGGCTGGCACTCATGGCATGCCTGTACATCACTGGTGCTGCGCTATATGCCGCCCGCATCCCGGAGAGATTCTTCCCTGGCAAGTGTGACATCTGGGTGAGTCTACAGAATAACTGGATGAGGAGACCAATGTGAAAGCTGGTTCCCCTCGAGGCTGGAAGATGTTGTGTCAGTGTTTTCTTATTGCAAGTATCAAACTGCTGCGCCAGAAGCGTAGGTCTTAAGGGGGCCAAACAACTGAGCCCGGCTTACGTGGTGCCTCTTGCTGAGTTATCACAAGCTGGTGGGTCTGAGGTAACTGCTGGTGTGCAAATTCACCCCAGCACACGTACTAGATAGTTTTAACAGGTGGGTCAGCAACTCTGCAAACCTTTTAGTGTGTGTGTGTGTGTTGAGGATCCTGCAAACACACACCTTTACCTTGCTTCTGGGCAGAATAGCGCGTGGTTATTTCTCTGATGTTCAGTGTGCTCTCTGGGATCTTCAATCATGTCTGGCTGCCCTTCTTGTGCAGCCAGTGAAAACACTGGGTAGAGATGGTAGGCTTTGGAGGGGTCTCTGGCCCAGAAGAAGGGAAAGTGGGGCGAGTGGGTGAAACTTGGTAGGTATGACAGAAAAAGATCACAAAGACTGTAGAGAGGAAATGTGGGTAAGATGTAAAGAAAGAAATCAGGTGGAGCAAGAGTAGAGATGAGAAGGAGGTGGACCTTTGGAAGGCCACTGTACTTCCACTAGGATAGTTTAAGGCCCCTAAAGAAGATGAGAAGTGAGAATGAGACCTGGGTTGTCCGAGTGGCTTCTGCACAGCACCAGTTTGCTAGGTGTGTTTAAATAGCCAAGCAAAGCTCTGTTACAATAACAAGGTGGGTTCCAAAAGCACTGATGTACCACCAGCAATTTTCTAAGCTTCCTGTGGAGCCTGCAAATACACACTTGTAAAGTTTTTCAAGATTATTTTGAGTATTGGTATGGGATCCCTCAGACAAGAGCATGCTTTGTCATATAGCTCCCTCATGGTTTTCATTCTGTTGCACTCTAGTGTAGCATCCTGAGCATTTATTCAGGATGTCTGGTTGTTTCTAGGTTTTAATGTAAAACACTTTTTCCCCCCCACCACCCCCTGTTCTGTTTCTCTATGGCAAAGAAATAAAATAACAATGTTCTGAAAATCCACTTGGCAAAACTTATGCCTGTGACCAGAGCAGAGTTTGTACCTGTTAACCCTTTTTATTAATAAACCACCAGTGTGTCTTGTGGAGGCACTAATTTTAGAAGTGTCCTGCTTAAACCTTTTGCCCAAAGCTCTGGAATTATCCTTGTCCCTTCACAAAGATGCACTCAAGCATTTATGTAGCATGTTTGTTGATTGAACCAGTTAAGATGACTGAAGGAAAGGGTGGGGGGGGTGTGTGTGTGTGTGTATGTGTGTGTGTGTGGAGAATTTGATTATTTTGCTAGTGATAGGAGAGGGATGGGCTTTTAATACACAGCTTGGAGAACTTTGCAGCTTGTGGTTTGAGGTCCTGCTACGTGTTGTTGTGTACTTAGCTGAATATGTGGCCTTTTTTGGAGGCAGGGTATCACTAGAACCCCGAAGTACCCCAGCTGAACAGAAGTGTTTTCTTTTCCACAGTTCCACTCCCATCAGCTGTTTCACGTCTTTGTAGTGGCCGGTGCTTTCGTGCACTTCCATGGAGTTTCAAACCTCCAAGAGTTCCGTTTCACGGTGGGAGGAGGCTGCACAGATGAAGATGGGATGCAGTAAAACCAGCCTTCAGCCCAAGATCATCACCAAAACAGTTCTGCTGGCGTGGCTGAAGCATACAGGCTAGCGAAATTAATACCTAAGAAGAATCCAGGTTTCAGCTGATGGAGCTTCACAGGGATTCTGACTAACCAAGATAAAAATTCTATACCTCAAGCAATGGAATGAATCAATTTGAAGACCAGGAAATTCTGAAACCCTAATTTATTCTTGGGATCTACAGATTGAGCTACAGAGGACCCTTTCCAAATCGGCTTCTGTTCAATGCCATATTTATTTGTAGAACTGGGGAGGGATAGCTTAGCAGTTTCCTTTTTTTTTTTTTAAAAAAAAAAAAAAGAAAAAAAAGAAAAAATAAAAAATCAAGGTTAAATTTATATCCTCTTGGAGGGTTTGGGAGTTGATTTTAGATGCTCTTTTGGGAGAAAAACAAATTGTAAATAAGATTTCTAACTTTCTGTTTAAATAAAATTTATATAAATGTTTTAAACAATGGGTGGGGTGGGAGGGGAAAGGGTTTTTTGTAAAGAATGCAACATGCAAGTACCACACACTGTTTCAATTTTGCACAAATTAAACGATTGCAGGAGGACCAGGTAAAATTCCCAGGAGTGAAACATGTTGACCTTGCAGATTTTTTCTTAGTGGTCAGCATGCCCCTGGGGCAATGTGGGGTCCTGGCCAGCACTTGGAGTAGGTTCAGTAGGTGTACACAAGGGTTGTGTGAAGGCTGGATTAATCACCATGTCATCCAGATCACAAGGTTAGCAAGTTTATTTACTCCAGTAACTCGAAAGGTAGATCTGTGCCCTGCCTCAGCCTGTGGGACAACTGCCTTCCACGCTTGTGTGGGCTGTCTCAGTTTGGGATAGTGGATCTTGGTTAGTTGTTTTGGTTCTCAAGGTATGAATTGGGAGCACGATGGGATAACTGCACGTGAAATGGCCAACAGTCCGACTCCATCAGTGCCTACCTATCCCCAAAGGTCCCCGTGGAGGAGGTTGGTTGCCATTTGTGGGCCTGCCCTGCTTTGTCTGAGGAGATGATGGTAATGCACTTGTCAAAAGATAGTTGAGCACGTGAAGGGAAACAGAGGTGGGGATAAGATGGACTGGAAAGAGGAAGCTGTGTGCTCCAAGACTTGGAGTTAACAGTTAATACAGACCTCAAGCACGTTACCTTCTCATGTGTCAGGCTCCATATGCCAAGGGAGTTTGCGGGTTTTCCTTTTTCAGAGGAAAAATCCACAATTAATCCAATGCAGTTCCCTTTTTTTCCCTTCCCCCCCTTAGGTCTGCTTCCCATCTGTGCTTTAGCAATGGGACTGCCGGTATTTTTTAAACCTAAAATGAAGAGTTCAGTTGGATTGCAGTGGAGCAGACACACCTCCTGTCTAAGGGGAGGTGTCTACCCTTCTCTTGTGTAATTCATGTAGCTTGATCTTTGGAGCCCAGTCAGAAGCCAGACTGAAGGGAGAATCTTTGGAGTTGTAAGATGAAACTTGAATGTTTTTGTTTGTTATGGCACAGGTATTGCTTGGGAGTGTTTAGTTGGAAATTCAGAGCAATTGCCTCTCTCTCAGATGAGTTAAACAGCCCACAAAACGCTGTATTTCACCAGGAAGGAAGGTAAAGGGTGGGGGGTTCTTTTGTGGTGGTTTTTTTATTTGGGTTTTTTTTTTTTAAGACTCTTGTAAGTTCATCTTTTCAAGAGAAAAATGTGGATTGCAAAGATCTTCCCCTTACCCTGGATATCACGGAGTGTGGTTTGGGGAGTTACTTTGCCTCACGGAGTCAAGTAGAAGCAGAATGCCTTCTGAAAGTTGACTGGATATTAAGGCTTCACCCTCCAGTGGAGTCTCTGTAAAGCCTCTGAGAGCAAGGTCAGCTGCAGCAGAGCCTGCGAGCTTAGAGGGACGTGTTCTCAGTAGGATCACGACACTTGGTCGCGTACCTGTAGGGCCAGAAGTTGATCACAGGTCTGTGTGGTACCAGAATGAAGTAAAGAGCAGTATTAACTTGGATGTAAGGGCTAAGAGCACTGGCGTCCTGGACAAAGATGTAGAGGAAGTCTAGTGGTGTCTGAGAAAAGCGTGGTCCATATCAGAGTTGTCTGGAAGATGCTTTGGGATACCTCTGTAACAGTACCAGCAGAAGTGACAGTCTCCATCCTGGATCATCCCACGTTCACTCCTCGAAGGGTGATTGTAACCTGGTCCTACACAGCACAGAACTATTTACAAACCCACAGTACTCCACCTGCTATTCTGAACCCAGTCGGTCTCTCCCTTCGAGAAGTTTGTGTTCCAATAACCACAACCTAGCTGTGCACTTTTTCTGTAGCTCTTGCTGAGAACTCTTCCCAGGTTGGCACCTGAATGCCTTACTCTCAGCAGTCAGAGAGGCTTGCTTGCTCTGTGTGCAGGTTATTGCCATAGAATAGTTAGGACCTACAGCTTCTTTCCTTCCCCATTAAATAGTGGCCTTGTTCAGTATATTTCTTTTTACAAATTGCTTACTGTTGAAAGCAATGAAGCACATTCTGGGGTTTTGATGGTTGGGGGACTCTGGTGATGGTTCCATATAAAGATGGGATCTTATTACTTGCTGTATTCTTAACTTCTGCTAATAAAAGAACCAAATGGAATATTGTCTAGTTTGGGTCTTTGTGAAGCTTGAAATTTCGAGTCGCTCTCGTTTCCTTCCTCCCCGATGCTTACAGGCAACGCTTCGTCGGTGAAAGACTTCTGCTGGCACAGAAACCAAACTGCTGCCTCAAGGCTTGTTGATGTAGGGTTGAGCTGATGTTTGCCATGTGCCTCCTCGAGCAAAAGCCAGCGAGTGGGACTTCGTGTGACCACAACATCAGTTCTGCTCCGTGACACCCTCGGGATGTCTGTCACTCACATCACGGTTGCGCCTGGTCTCGATGATCTTCAAGGTCTTTTCCAATCAAGGCAATTCTGGGATTCTGTAGGAGCCAAAATGGGGTGCAGAGCCCTGTCCTGCCCCTGGCGGGGACCTGCCTGGGGACAGGTGAGGTGCTGAGGCTCCCAAAATTCGAGGCAGCACAACAAGCAAA